GGACGTCGTAGAGAACACATTATGTGACTTTTTCTATTAAATCAGGTTCTAGAAAGCAATTATTTTTTGGAATCGTGTTTGTACAGAATTGTAAAAAGTTTTTCGTATCTACTGAATTTGAATTTATTTATAGGCGTCTCTTACTTGTTTGTGCTTCACTTATTTGCCGTAAAATATAGGAGTTTATATCCTATAAAATTACATATAATTGGGTTTAGAGGTTTGGATTAAAAATGGCCCCAGCTTTAATCCTTTCATCGCAGCTGACTAACATTCAAGAGATGCTTTTCAACAATCGTTACACACAATAAAATATTATCACGAGATGGCATTTATTCTGGTTGGACTTTTGAATTAACAAAATTTAAAATCTTTGGGTTTTCGCTACACAAGATTGAAGTCACTTTTCACGATTTGAAATATTTTTGTTTCGTCCTATAGTACGCATATACAAGAAATTAAACCTTCAATAAAGTCCTACTCGCGGCAAATATTTAACCATCGTGCCTGCTACAAAACGGCGTGTTAAATGGAAAAATGTTTACTAACAATTTCTGAGGAAAATAAAATTTTTTAAGAAAAATCTTATTAAAATGATCGGTTATGATTTTTTAACAACATTGATTGAAGCATCGCATTAGCTAGATAGAATTTTGACAACTGATAAAATTATATCATCTCTCATATTTCTACATTCGATATTTACTTCAAACATAATTACACTCTTTTTTTTTCACTCTTTTTGGTAAAGCGAGAGAGAGAGAGAGAGACAGGCAGAGAAAGAGAGAGAGAGATATCCTTTTCTTCTTCTTTATACCGTGTCCTTTCAGGACGTTGGCGGTCACTGCTTTCCACAATTTCCTATCCTTTGTAGCACTTAATAAATTTTGTCTCTTTGCCTTCTCTTCCAACCTCTTCTTCGCCATCCATTCTCTTAAGCTTGTCAAAGAGGTTTCCTCTGTCTGTCTTAGCTTCAGACTGTCCCTGTGAGTATCAAATTTTCCAAACCCTGCTTCTTCATTATGTGACCCCCAATTTCAATTTTCTCATTAATGTTATGTATAAGTGTCCTTTTTTTGCTATTGTCACCAGAACTTCGTCGTTGCTCATATGTTCGGTCCATGATATTCTCAGCATCTTTCTGTAGAACCACATTTCTGTTCCTTCAAGCCTCTTCTTTATTTGTGAGATTGCCCAGCCTTCAGTGTCACATAGGAGAACTGATACTACATAAAAATTCAGTCCCGTTTTCTTTTTTTTCTAACGAGATTTTTCGGTTTCTTAATACTTTGCTTAACTTTTGGAAGACATCTTACGCTACCACAATGCGCTCTCGGATTTCCGTGTTGCACTTTCCGATCTCCGTTAATACGCTTCCCACATATCTAAATTGTTGCACTGGTTTGATTTCGATATGTCCAATCTGCAATTTGCTAACAACCATGCATTCAGTCTTCTTGCAATTGATACTTAGTCCTTTCTTCTCGCTTTCCTTCACTACCTTCTGTAGAAGTTTTCTTTCCGTGTTTTCTGCATAACTTATGTTGTTAAGATTGTAGCAGCCAATAATGAATCCTGGTAGAACATTTAATTCTTCCAGAATGGTTTCGTTGTATAGATTGAAAAGGTCTGGTGAGAAGACGCAGCCTTGTCTTACACCCCTTTTATTTATTTTTGTATATTTACTCAAATCCATTACATTCACTTACGTGCTAATACCCATAGGAAAGGTAGGAATCCTCTTCTTCTCCCCCCACCAGCTATAGGTAAATAGCAGGACAGACCGGGTTCTATAGCCTTGGATGTTAACTGGTCTACCGCAGAAAGAAATAGCAACGTACTGCGGGAAAAAATCTGCCTCGTCAGTCATGTATCGAAAGATATATGATCGTCTAAGCGTCTATCACGCATGGCATATAACAGACTGATATTTACTGAACTCCTTTCCCGTCCGTATGTAGGCGGTTTGCTGCCAGTATATGTTCCAGATTATTCTATGTCAATGTTATCTATCGGATCCAGCAGTTCTTTGCGACGTACTTTATCAAGCGCTTTTGTATAATGTATAAAACATAGGTATATATCCTTTTGCATTTGTATTACTCTTTCTGATATCATTTTTAGCATAAATATCGCATTTTTCCCCCTGTATCTTTAACAAACCTGCACTATTCTTGTCCTATTTCCGTTCAGATTCTGCTGCGCGCTCTATTCATCAAGTTTCGGATGATAAGTTTTGTTACATGGCTCATTAGGCTGATTGTCCAATTGAGTTCACATTTTTGTTTGCACCTGGCTTCTTAAGCAGTGCTATGAATATAGATCTACTTAAGACTTCTGGTATAGTCCACTGTTGTATATCTCATTTATTATGTTTATAATGTTGTCAGTGCCGAAATCGTCTAAGGCTGCCAGTATCTCTATTACGATTCCGCCTGGGCCTGCTGATTTCTTTCTTTTCAATTTGGCCATTTAATTTAATATTTTTTCTATGATATTATTCTTCATAACAAGGATATTGATTTAAAAAAATATTATTTACGGGTATTTTTTAAAAAAATGTATGTTGAATTTTATTAGCATTCTTATAAAACAAAATTAACGTGTTTAATATTTTTGATATATACTGTAAAAATATTAAACTGGTTAATTTTGTTTAGATAATCGTATTTTATGGAGGAAGGTGCTTGATCCGCAAAATACGATTATACAAAAATTTTAATGGGAGAGATTCAGTTCGCTATGTAACTTTAACATAAAATGGACACTGATCCGTGAAATAATTTAAAAATCATTTAGAACCGTGTAATTCCTTGAAGATGATGGAAAGTAACATAAGATAAAAAATTTCCCACATTTATACAAATTTTAAATGCTTAATTCTGAATCCCAAACCCTACAAACAGAATATAAGGTTCATACACTTAAAAAAAAAATGTTTCAATCTCCATATAATTTTTACAAAATAATACCTCTAATATTTTTTAATTTCAGTACCCCAAAATCTTTCTCAAAATGATCAAAAGTGCTGTGTAACAGGTTGTGGTGACTATGATAAACAAAACATGATTCGTTCATTCTATCTTCCCAAAGATCACAATGAGCGAGAATGGTGATTAAAGGCAATACCCCAAGACAACACTCCTGACAAAACGAAACACTGTTGTTTGTGAAAGGTATTTTCCATCTGATTATGGAACAGAATTTATTACAAGAAAAGTACGACTCAAATCCACCATCAATATTTGATCATTTGCCATAAGTATATTACCTAGTCTTCAACACAAACCAACAAATAATACTTCTGCACGAAATGTGCAAAATGATGAGTTGGCATAGTTTCTAGAAAAAGACAAAATCCTCACTTTTGAAAAATTGTATCAGAATATTGATCAACATGATTTTATTTCAGCAGTTACATGTTATAAATCAAACAATCAGCCATTCATCCAACCTGTTGATTTTTTCACTGGAATTATTTCAATGTTTTTAATTAAAAATATGTGAAAACTTGAGATTTGAATATTACCTTGCTGATATATATATACAGTTTTTTCTCGAATGTCGAATGCCAATATTTTAGCATTGGCCACAACTCAATGAAGCAGTTCGTTACCTTAGTAACTTAAAAATTAGTAAGAAGAAAAAATGTTAAAAGAACATATTAATGTTATGTCCCACAAAGTATTATGATAAAACATTTTGATTCTGATATTCTTATCAGGTCATCTGAATATTTTGTTACATTTCGGTCATTATATAACAGACTTCAAGATGATTTTAAGTTACCAAATATGAGAACATTATCAACTTTGACATAAAAAGTTTCAAAATTAAATGACTTGAATTTTCTTGGGGATATTTTAGTGAAATCTCTGAAAATCAGAAAAAAAATCATGTATATATGTACTTTTTGTCGATGAAGTGTATGCCAAGGTTGCTCTAGAATATCATGCAGGAAACTTATTTGGTTTGGCTGAAAATCTTTTAACAAAAACAGTATTTGGGTATCATGGTAAAATGTTTAAATGGTGAAACCAAAATATTACTTAAAATGATCCTAGTTGCAAAATTAGAGGCAACTTTTTTATATGAAAAATTTTATATTGTGTTGATGCAATCAAATGGTCGAGTAATTGCAATTTTATGTCACAATAACATGACTTATCAATCTTTGTTCCCAAAATTTGACAATGTTTTTAATAAGACTTGGATAACTAAAAATGGATAACTTTTTGATGATGTCCACCTTTTTAAAGATATTCGAAATAATTGGATTACTGAACCTACTTCTGAATTCCTATTTTATTCTGAAGGCAAAAAAGAGACAACAAAATTGGAAATTGGTCTTTTTGAGTATTAAAAACTCAATTTGTTAAAATTATGTATAGTCGTAATATCTGTTATTGTATCATAGCGAAATAAGTATTTTCTTCATCTTCTGTCAGACCAATTGTACATGTAACAAAAATTATAATAAATTTTGTAAAGATTATCAAAATTATTGTTTCTCTGAAATTCACATTTTTTGTAAAATATTTTCAAATTTTGTTGATACCAAATTTTTTAAAATGCTGAAATTGCTTTCTGATTATATATTTTGTAATAAATTAGCATAAACAAATTAACTCATTATTTTTTCAATATTATCTAAAAATGCCTAATTTATGGCGAATAAAGTAATTTTTGTGCATTTAGTTATTTTATAGTATTTTTGTTCTTTCTTTGTACATTTACATTTATGGAAATAAGTCAATAATTGTAAGATGCTTCCTAATATTACATATAGTTACTAATTAACTAACTACTGGACATTACTAACAATCTGGCTAAAAATATTCGCAGTAATTGTTATTTAGTAGTAATTTAGGTCTCAACATGTCCGCCCCCAGTTGTGGACCCCAGGTCTGGTATTAAGATCGCCTTGGTAGGGATACAATTAGAAATGAACAGTAGATTATTCTATTAAGTTTGAACTTAGTAAGTTGTGGTGTCGCCTATCAAGCAGGAGGACAAGCAGGAAGACAAGCGGGAGGACAAGCAACGACAAGCAGGAGGAGAAGCAGGAGGACAAGCAAGGACAAGCAGAAGGACAAGCAAGGACAAGCAGGAGAGCAAGCAGGAGGACAAACAAGAGGAGAATCAGGAGGACAAGCAAGGCCAAGCAGGAGGACAAACAGGGGAACAAGCAGGAGGACAAACAGGAGGACAAGCAGGAGGACAAGCAACGACAAGCAGGAGGATAAACAGAAGGACAAGCAGGAAGGCAAACAGGACGATAAGCAAGGACAAGCAGGAAGACAAACAGGAGGACAAGACTTTTACTCGTAGTTCAAGTGAAAATCCTTCTGCGTCCCTAATACGTCAGACACTAACTGAGAAATTCATTTGTCTTTTTATGAATGCGAATATGTGTAAAGTATTAGAATTTGTAGCTTAATATATTTGTAAGAATATTTGCTGGACATAGCTATGAAGAGATTCAGTCAAACAAGGCTGATCGATACATCGATAGATTTAAATAGAGATAGATGAACAATATTATTTATTCTGACAATAATTTTCTTTCATCTAAAAATGTTAATATTTTATTTGCTTTTATCGTCCCCACCTCCAGCTATCAGTGCAGGGTTTTTCAAACTGTGGATCACGACCCTTCAGTGGGTTGCAAGATAAATAAAATGGGTCGCGATAAAAAAAAGTGCAGAATATAAACAACTCATAAATCATCGCTAGTTTTTCACCGAGGTAAGTTCATATTATATATATATATATATATATATATATATATATATATATATATATATATATAGTAATTATACAATATGATAATCCGTAAGGAATTACCAGGAGGATATAGATCCAAGGAGAGCTCTATGTCAAAATCCAGAGCGAAATAAATTTATTTCATGAGAGCTGCATTTTTAGAGCTCTCATGAAATAAAAATCATTACTTATGGGATTTTAAGTGTTTGATATTCATTAATATAATAATAATAATAATAATAATAATAATATATATATATATATATATATATATATATATATATATATATATATATATATACAGTTTGTTCTCGTTAATTTTATGTATCTTATTCGTCAAACTCATTGCGGACTATTTACTTTATCGTTGTGTCGGAATTTCCTTTAAATTTGTTTTCCGAAAAGTAATAATTTTATATCCATACAAATAGATAATACAAATAGATATATGCAATTCCAATGTGTGCGTATCATAAGAAATATACATATAAAATATTATCGATGCTAAATAAATGAACCCAGTGAACAGAATTTGTCTTTAATTTATTGCACGAAGGGGGATAATTGGACGCAATGCAAAACTGGTTCTTGTTTGAGTCGTTCTAAAAATAAAAGTTTGAAAAACGCTGGTCTAGGGCAACGAGCAAAAGTTGAAATTATCAAGTTGCAGGTAATACTCGAATTCCACTCCTAAAGAGGGCAACTCGATAAATCATAAAATCAAAAAATAATAAATTGTGACACCATTTAGGGATGCAAGGAAAAGGAAGAAAAGAAGGGAAAGAAATGAAATTTTGATAATGAAAAATGGTAAAGGGTTTCATTGTCATTGTCGAGAATTCTAAATAGATAAAAAAAAATAACGGTGTCGTGGTGGCGAACTTATATTATCAGAAAAATGGCGAAGCCGTTCCATCGTATCAGTGGTTGGCGCCGAGAAGTGAATGCGTCTGTTTGGACCAGTCAATTGGTTGACAAGTTCCAGATCGGCTAGCTAAACTCCGGGACAGAATAGATAAACATTTAACTGTGTCGCGGGAATGCCATTTGGGGCTTCCACAGAAAACTACAGAGATAAAAATTTAATAGGTCGCCCGTTGACCACACACGAATCATCAAAAGGTTAGAACGTCACATTTGGGTGCCGCGACCAATACCAAGACAGTTGGTTGTCACAGGACGGGACAACACGACTGACGCAACAGGCGGACGTCACGTTTGGAGCGGCGACACCCGAACGAAGCAGCGAGGAACGAGCAAGACTGTGGGACGTCACAAAATAAAATAAAAAAAATAAAAAAAAATAAAATAAAAATAAACTTAGATAGATAGATAGATAGATAGATAGATAGATAGATGCTGAGATAGATGGATAGTTATGAAAAGGACTGAGATAGATAGATAGATATTAAGAAAGAGATAGATAGATAGATAGATAGATATTAAGAAAGAGATAGATAGATATTAAGAAAGAGATAGATAGATATTAAGAAAGAGACTGAGATAGATAGATAGATAGATAGATAGATAGATAGATAGATAGATAGATGTCCCCAATGCTGATATTTGCTTTCGAATAATCAACTCTCCACACTGAAGAAGATTAATCACAGAAAAAGGAAAAGCCAAATTAAGCACAACTCTTTCGTTTTAACAAATGCAAAAACACGAGATTCTTTTGCACCGTTGCAATATTACTACACTTCCCAACTCGATAAATCGCAAATAATTTCCCCTTCATAACAACATTTTACAATTTCTAACGCGTTTTATTGTTTAGAAATCCTTATTTTTATGTTGCAAATAAATGGCAAATAAAGTATTCGAAATAATTTCTCTGAAAGATGCTTGGATAAAAACGTTGAAGAATGATGTAAGAAATTTGCCTAAAAACTTGAAAGAGTTGCGATAAGATGTGAAATGGTCATTTATGAAAGCCTCTACCTCATCAGTACGTCGTATCAATTTTACCGGATAATGGATTAAAACCTTGCCAATGGCCTCATTCTCATCCAGACTACTTCTATGGTTTCACTGTAAGCGGTGTTGTTTTAACCTAAATATATTTTATTTTCTTTGTCTGAAAGTGGAGACTTCAGCCTTGGGGAAAAATCGCCAACATAAAGGATGAAAGATTTTATTTAAGTTTCTTTAAAGAAGCCGTCACCGTGTAAGTTGCTCTTTTTTGTTTTTGGAAAATGGGAAATAAGTTTCGGCGTCCGATTTTTAAAAACCTGAAAGAGTGAAAAATTAGTTGACTTTGTTTTGGGGATTTTAAAAAATAGCACATACAGTGTAACCCGGATATAAGAGAAACCCGGATATAAGAGACCCTGATATAAGAGAAACCCGGATATAAGAGAGATTTTCTCTGGTCCCAAAGTGTTCCCATACTTACCTAAACAAAATAGACCAAACCCGGATATAAGAGAAACCCGGATATAAGAGAGATTTTTCTCTGGTCCCAAAGTGTTCCCATGCTTACCTAAACAAAATAGACCAAACCCGGATATAAGAGAAACCCGGATATAAGAGAGATTTTTCTCTGGTCCCAAAGTGTTCCCATACTTACCTAAACAAAATAGACCAAACTCAGATATAAGAAAAACCCGGATATAAGAGACTCCTTCTCCGGTCCCGACAACTCTCTTATATCCGGGTTACACTGTATAATGGAGACAAATAAAAAAAGTTTCTTATTTCAGAAAAGTTATTCATATGTGTGAATGTTTAATTCTGTCAGTTTGCAAATGTCTCCTAAGTTCAATATTTGTTCATCTGTTAGTTTTGTTTCGTTTTACAAATTTATTAACCAAATTTGAGAAAAATAAATAAATATTCTGAAAAGAAAATCATTTATAACACAAATTTGAAGTCTAACTTTGACAGAAAAGCATGTTTCAATCAATTGGAAATTAGATAACGAAATTCTAACCTATTGAATGGCATTTTAGCCAATAGAACAATGCCAGGTCAATGCCAGATCAAGAGAAATTTGGCAGTAAGATCGTGTTGCATCAATTTTTTGCGAAGGAGGGGCCGACTTGATAATCAGCATTTGAATTCTAGAGAAGTTCTGAATATTTACAAAGTTTAGTTTAGACTGGCACGAGGCTACAGCGAGGAGGTACTCAGTAAAGATCAAATGAGTTGCATCATCAAATGTTTTGCAGTTATCTTTTTAACCATTGCTCTACGGTAGGCGTCTAATTGATGACTCTGTAGTGGCTTCTTTTTAAAATAATCTTACTCCAAGTAAGACAATAAAGTCACTAAGATGTAAGGGGTTACTGAGTGCGAGAGAATATGAAAAAATAAATCATTATTAAGGAAAGAGAACAATAAAAGAAATTAATTAAATTAAAAAGCCAGAAGATAACGATTGACATTTCTTATAAATTAGTGAAGATCAAAGTTGACTGGAAAGCAAGGAACCGGAAGAGAGTTTCACAAGCGAGAAGTGCGAGAGAGGGAAATGTTAGCATAGAACTTACGGTTACATCTAGAGATTACAACTGTAAAATACTGAGAGCTTGGCGCCAATTTAGTACTGCATTTAAATTCATAAAGTATATTTCACTAGAACAATTACCATAAAAAATATTTATAGAAAAATCACAGGGAAGCTACGTTTTGGGAAGTAACTTAAGCTGAGATGCCAAGTCAGGACCAATAACATTGCAGATTCTTCTTTGTAATTTATTAAAAATCTTTACATTGTCTAGCACGATACAACTTTCCTAGCAGCAGACCTAGCAATGGATTCAATAGAATCTTTTCAAGGCATGTCAGCGGAAAATGTTTAGCCGAGAAGGCGCAATGAATCAATCTGCTGAGGGTTAGCATCAGCCATGCTGACAGAAGAAAAAAAAAGAGTTGTTCTCTTAGACGATTAAAAGAGAGCGGTTTCGTTTTGGAGGCGTTAAAATTAACAAGCCATTCATTGCCCCAGTTAACAACAGATTGTAAGTTATTTTTTAGATCAGCTGCCAGTTTGACAATATCAAATCGATCAGACTTGGCATTAAGACAGGAGTAAATAGTTGTCATCTGCATGGATACCGAGTTGAGAACTGATGATATCATGAAGGTCGTTGGTGAAAATTTAGAACAACGAAGGTTCAAGGATAGAGGCTTGAGAGAAATCTTTTTGATTTAATGTGCACTGAGTTGAACTTGAATTAAGTTTTTATGTTTTGAAATTTCTAAGTAAATTTTTATAATACAATGTTATCCTTCGTCGAGTCTCCGGTATATTGAAAGAAGAAAATTACTTTTTGACGTTAATTAGTTTCTTTCTACTTACCTGTTGCCTTTCTAATAAGTGTGCAATTTTACGTAACGTACGGTTTGTTTATCTTTTTATCAGTCACATTCCTATACTCAACGTTTCCCCGCCTTCGCCTTCTTCGGTCAGTCTTAACTTTTCTTTTTTATTGGCAGGTTCATCTTCTTTAATTCAGCAAATGTGACTCATCCATTTATAACGCCTCCCTCTTTAATGGCAGTGAAAAGGGGGAAAAGGTATATAATAAGAAGAGAGGAAATCTTAAAAATGACAGAGAAGAACTCTCTCTCTCTCTCTCTCACACACACACACACACACACACACACACACACACACACACAGACGGGGGCGAAAAGAGTTTTACGATTACCAGGAAGGTTTCCTTTTCCAATACAGGAAACACACGTATTCATCGACTCAAAAAAATTTGAATGTTACTTCAGAATCCGCCAAAAATAAGTAAATTTGACATTCCAATCTATATAATTTCTATCTGAAATACACCAGAATATTTTACTTAATGGAAATAATAAATTTAATTATTTAGCTTTCAATTAAAGCTAAAATAAAATCTTCAAGAAAGATTTTTCATTTTTAAAATTTAATTTTAAACCTTATGTATCAAACATTTATGCCAAAAAAGTGGAGGTTCCTAAACAGTTACACTGTCGCCTTCTTATGTCTAATCAGTTGACCACATATAATTCAAATGACTTGTCTTTTCACAACACATCTGCTGTACTGTGAAATGTGCGCTGCATTGCTCAATGAGTATGCTCTAAACCAGTTTAGTTTAATCAGCGGCCCACAATAACAGGTTTTGCGATTCGCTGAGGCAAAGTAAGAAAAAAAAAGAAACGAAAAAAAAAAAGAAACGAAAAAAAAACATTGTCTCGTCACTAGACAGTACAACTTTTATTGGGAACAGTCATATATATATATATATATATATATATATATATATATATATATATATTGCTTCTTTACTATTTAACTGGAAACAATTAACAATTGTCTTAAAAATAAATGCCTTTTACAGGTGGGTTATTTAATCACTAAAAGTTGATATTTGCACGGTTTAATAAATTTTAATTATCAAATGTCGTGTTCGTTGGTGTGGTAAATTGGGCACACCGATAAGCAGACACACAGATGTTGATAATACAAGGACACACAAATGGTTGGTTATGTGTTGTTTCCATCAGATATGTTTTTAAATTCCAAATTGTCCCGTCAACAAATGTAATAGCCACGAAGAGAGAGAGAGAGAGAGAGAGAGAGAGAGAGAGAGAGAGAGAGAGAGAGAGAGTAATAATAATGTCTGTCTCGAAGGTGAACATCATTTTTGTGCTTGTCATTCTACGAGAGGGCGTCGCGTGTTTGTGTGGTTTTAGTTTAGAAATGTTAGCTTTAATTTTACATTCACCTTGAAAAACATGACCTGCAAAAAGAAGAAGAAAAAGAAGAAGAGGAAGATGAGGAAGAAGAAAAAGAAGAAGGAGAAGAGGAAGAAGAAGAGAGATGAAGAAGATGAATAAAATGAAGAAGAAGAAGCCGAAGAAGAAGAAATGGAAAAAGAAGAATAGGAAAAGGAAACGGAAGAAGAAGACATGGAAGAAGAAGAAGAAGAAGAAGAAGAAGAAGAAGAAGAAGAAGAAGGAAGTAAGAGGAAGAAGAAGAAGAGGAAGAGGAAGAAGAAGCTGAAGAAGAAGAAAGTGAAGAAGAAGAAGAGGAGGAGAAGGAAGGAGAAGAAGCGGAAGAAAAAGAAATATAATAATAATAATAATAATAATAAGAAGAAGAAGAAGAAGAAAAGATTATTGAAAGATCAAAAGAGAAGTTTTAAGGATACGTGGGAAGTAGATTACTACTCCATATGGCAACATACAGCATGATGTTTGCATGCAGGTAACAGATATCTGTAAGGTATATGATTTTATCACACACATACACACACAAACACACACACACACACATATATATATATATATATATATATATATATATATATATATATATATATAAATATATATATATATACAATAACAAGTCGCGCATTGCAAAAATATGAGGCTCTGACTAGATCCTTAAAATTGTCAACATTACAAGGAAAATTTAAAGTATCAGAAAACTTTGTTTCCAAAATTAAGTTAAGCAGACTGTCACATTGATTACGTCATTGGAACTTGTAAAAAACATGTAAGTCTTTTTTAGGTATGGCGAAATTGTTAAAAAATCTGCTATTATTATGGCACAAGCTTTTGGCAAGAAAGGTTTGTGTAAAAAAATTAGTAACGGTTAATTTGTGTCACCTGTGTCACCTGTCTCCTGGAGAATTATCTCGTTTTTTATCATTGGTGATTTTTCAACTCAAGAAGAACTTATTGATTTGTGTCCTTTTCAAGGGAGTAGATAGGTAAAAATATTTATAAAAGAACTAAACAGACAATGTAAAGTTTTATTTACACTCATTGTTCGGACTGTTGTCCTCATCTTTGTTGTCATATTCATGACGTTTATTGGTGATTGGAATTTCGAACTGAACCCTTTATTTCGTCCACCGGGGTAGATTGTTTTAGTTTAACGTGCCATGCCTCTTCCGAATGTCTCAGTTATCTCCCTTTCTCCAAGTTTTTGTTCGCTACTGCAGTAGCCAGGTAATGAACTCACGACTCTTTTGGGTAGATGTAACCGTAAGTTCTATGCTGCTAGTTTCTTCTCTCGCACTTTGCCTTTGTAGAACTCTCTTCTGACTTCTTTGTTTTTCAATCAACTTTGATCTTCAAAAATTACCAATCGTTATCTTTTGTTTTCTTAATTCCTGTTCTTTTTATTGTTCTTTTTCCATATATGTTCTTTTTATATATATATATATATATATATATATATATATATATATATATATATATATAGCCATCTTTTTCTGACGATCCGTTTAGGTGAAAACTAGGTGGGTTTGTCTGGGCTCAAAGTTTGAATAGGTCTGCTCTACGGTTGTATTGAACTGAAATTTTTAGTTAGTTGTTTACTCGTATCGGTTTTTTTTCTTGGGCTTCAGAATAAAAATTTTTTGCGACAGAAAAAGATGTTTGTAGCTCTTTTTTTTTAAAACCTTTTTTTTTTTTTCGAGATTGATTTGATTATTGTCAAATCAAAAATTCGAAGGTTTTTCTAAAACGAGTATAGTTATCTATCTATTCATCTATCTATCTATCTTTCCCTATTGAATATCTATCTATTTAAAAATCTCTCTATATATATATATATATATTATATATATATTATTCATTGAATGATTTAGACATAAAATTTGTAAAACTTATTTTCAATTGGAACCTTTTATATCCAAGTTATTGAAAGACGAGAGAAAATCACCGTGTTGATACATATTTTTTTTATTGTTCCGAGTACTTTCGACATAGCATAATGTCATCATCAGGGTGTTGTTTATTGCAAGACAATTGTTGTAGTGTTCATTATTTTATTATATTCGAAGGCAAGATTGTTGTGTTCATAACAACACAACGATTTTGTCCACAACATGTTATTCAACGAAACATGTCACAAGGAACACATGCTGTCAAAATATACGCACACACGCATATATATATATATAATTATTTCACCCTTTTCAAGGCATTTAAAACATATATATATATATATATATATATATATATATATATATATATATATATATATATATATATATATAATGAATTAATGGATTTGTTTTGAATCCGACATTTTTTTTACTTCAAAATTATTATAGTGGATAAAAGTTTGTATTTTCAAATAGACGACCATTTTTCATTTTTTGCATTTTTAAATGTATATGTGTGTGTGTGTGTGTGTGTGTGTGTGTGTGTGTGTTTTTAAGTATTCTCCTTTTAAAAAATTTTTGATAGGTTTCTAAAATATTTGCATGTCTAGTGTTTAATTCCATTGGTCTACGAACGATAATGGGTATGTTCACCATTAACAATAAATATAGTAGTAAATACTGTATGTTGGTCTGCTGGTTAAATGTTTACAGACTCTGGGCATTGATATATCTTTTAACGAGGCTATTTCGAAATACAGAGTCTTGTCTAGAAAATACTACCATGACCCCGTTTTTATACATTATGGTCTATTCAGAAATTTTGGCCGAGACTTTAAAATAGGCTCTAACATTAAAATATCAAGGCCCTTGTGCAATTTGACCGCGTGGGGCGGTTGGTAGATATCCTGCAGTTGGAGATTTATTGTGGAATTCACTTGAATTACATTTAGCAATTGAATAAAACTTTTACGCATTTTGGCGAATCTTATATGTGTTGTTCTTGTCCTAAGTATTATCGTTTATTACCAACCTTCGTTTGATTATTCTATTCAGTAAATTTCCCTAGGTTATAAATATAAAATTATTTTTAATACATTTTTAATAATTAATAAAATTATTAAATAGGAAAAATATTTTTGTTGCTTTTTTTTTGCATCAATGGCTATTTGAATTTAAAAAAATTAAAAAGCAAGTGTTCCAATGAAAAGTACATATGTTTCACTTGAATAATTAATATAACAAACAATGTCAAAAGATTGTAAGTTTGAAAATTTTTTTAATGTTTTGGAATCCTATATTGGTAAATAGATTTAAAATTTGTCAGTGTGTATTGCCAAGAAGAAATTCCTGTTTTCTGAAAAACAATTCGTAAAATTGGAAAGATATGGATGAAGTGGTTAACACGACATTTTCAAGAGAACTTGCTTAATTTGACTCATTATCCTGTCCTAGTTATGATGATAAATTACATTCAATATTTAAGATTAGAGAATTCCTAAAATAAAAAATTTCTTAAGAAATATGGGTTTATATTTTTCCACCCTGACCCAGGGTGGTAGACTGCTGTTACAATACCCAGTTACGGGCAAATAATGACCCCCCCTAACAAAAAAATCAACAGTTATTTTTTTATCTACTATATAATTAAAAACGCACCTTTATCCTGAAAGTATAAAATTCTGTAGAAAATATATGTAGTTTTATATATAAAATTCCTTACAAAATATTTAGATTTCCGCATTAAATAACCCATAGAGATGTTGATATGCCGCTAAACAAAATCAATCAGTTGTTGAATTTAACTTAAAACTCCAAAGATCAAATTGTTTTAGAGCTGATTTGATATATCAATGGATTTTTAAATAAACTGAAAGTTTTCAAATTATGTTTAGCCAAAAATAATTTTGCAGAAGGCCCGCAATGCTTCTACTTTTGTTGAGCAGGCGTAGAGGATCATCTTTTGTTCCCTGTTCGGGATATGCTTTACCGGTCCTTCTTCTTCTTTCAGGGCCTTAATTTATTGAACTAATTTTTTTTTCCTTTTTATCTAAAAATTGGTAATAAGGAAGCTGCGATGATTTCCATTATAAATAGTAGCGGTTGGCAGTTTGCTTCCAAAATTAATTCTTTCTTGAGACCGAAGTTTTGAATTTCGCTTAGAGACAAAAAAATGAAATGCTGATCAACATTCATTAATATCGCGCACGGGTAGGTGTCCCTGCATGTATTTTTCAGGCAAAATTTAGGCCAATTATGTTCTGTTTTCAGCCAGAGAAACTAGTTTGTAAATGCCATTAACGATAAAGTGATAATTATGTCGACCAATTTTCATTTTTCAACACAAATCTCCTAATTACTCAACACAGCGAAACGAAAAAACGAGAAAAACATTTAAAAAAAAAAAAAAAAACCTACCCAATTTAAGAGTCTTTTTTTTTTTACAATGGTTGTAAAATAGGCTCCAATATTCAGTAGTATAGAATCTTTATCTCATGGAACTTTCAAAAGCATATTTAAAATTGTTCGAAAATAATTATTCATAAATATTTATTTATTTATTTATACAAAATGATAATTATTCGAAATAACGTGTTTGAAATAAATATATTCATGGTCTTGCTTTGAGAGAGTCAATGTATGATTTTAATAGAATTAATGACATATTTTTATATGGCATAGGGTTTTTTTGCTGCATACAGGTGTCATCCTTCATCTAATAAATGGAAATTTTAGATGTAAGAAATTTGATATTGCAAAAAAAAAAAACATTTTGCCCAATTATCAAAAGCGCCAAGAAATAACACAACATAAAAGGTAAACATAAAAAATTAATGCCATATTTTGACGAGTACTTTTCAGTAGTTGACTATTTGCGTGCAGTATCATAGAACTTAAACTTATAAGGATTTTTTCTTACTAAATACTTTTATTAACGACTAGCAGTAGAGCCCGGCGTTGCCCGGGGATGTAATAGTAAGAGATAGATCAAGTATCGACTATCATAAAGACTGAAAAATAAAATTGACAAAGATTATTGTTTAAGGTTGACGGACACGCATGTCTTAATTAGTTTTTTTTTTTTTTTTTTTAGGAATTGGTCAAACCCAAACTCAAACAAAAACATTGTTTTCAATCGTTATGAGTCTATCAATTGAATGAATAGAATTTTATTATAAACAATTGTCTTGTAAATGGAATTTTAAAGCATTCTGAATGTAAAAATAAAAGAAAAAAATGTGCAAGACAATAAGAAACACTACCTGCCAAAAAAAGTGAAGTTTTGTTGAAATCGGTTGAAAAAATGTAGGTAGCCTTTCTCTGTAATCTTTTTTAAATTTATGATTTTTACTTATTGAATACAGTAAAAAAATTGCATATTTTGCTTGTGGTGATTCATAATTAGAATTCTGATTTGAATATATTTTCCACTCATTGTTTTTTTAATACAAAAAATATTAACTTTATTTGGGTTTATTAATTTATTATAAATACTGTGTTCTTTCCTTAATAATTATCATCTTTTGAAATATTGTTGTTTTTTGTCTATAATAATCTTTTTTAAAATTATTTCTTAATTTTCTTTTGAATATTGAATTAATTTCAAATAGAACCAATGCCTTATTGATCTGCCTTTGTAACAAATTGCAAAGGGAATTGAAAAAACGGCCCTAAAGTATTTTAATTATCTTTCCCTAAAGATAAAGAATTATCCGATTTTTCGATTCGTACAATCAGT